CTGAACTGTAATCAATAAATTAATGACAATATTGTAAAATCACTGTAATTTTGCAACTGTAATAGAATAATACCAATGCAGTTATGACTGTATTTGATGTAATGTAATCAACTGGAATGCATGCATGTAATACTTGCACAACTGATATTGACTAAGGATCATTCGAAATCCGAGTTACATTGAACTCACCAGAAGACTCCCAGAGGTGTGGACACTGACTTTCACACCTTTAAGCATTGTTATAAATACCTGTAGGAACCATTGTTCTCGAGTTCGCTGGTGGAGGCAACAGACGGGCACTAGGGATGGTCAAAGGACTGACCTGGGGCCTGTTGGTCGCTGAGACGTGCGTGGTAACTATTGTAACCATCGTGGTAATGTAACTATGTGGTAACTATCGTATTAATCGTGGTAATGTAACTATGTGGTAACTATCGTGGTAATGTGGTAACTATGTGGTGACTATGTGGTAACTATCGGGGTAATGTAACTACGTGGTAACTATTGTGGTAACTACGTGGTCATGTAACTACGTGGTAACTATTGTACTAACTACGTGGTAACTATCGTGGTAATGTGGTAACTTTGTGGTAACTATGTGGTAACTACGTGGTACGTACGTTTCCTGAAGGCAACGCAGTCAAAAAGGTCATGATTACACGCCCCTCTTACTTAATGCCACGCCGCCTGATCCGGACCAGGGCCAAGAGACTGAAAGTAAAAAAATACAATCATTTTAAAAAAGGAATCTGAATATAAAATTATAAAATCTCCAACTGAAAAATATAAAACCTCAAATATAAAAAATAAGTATGTGAAGAATGAAAATAAATATTGTATTCAAAACAATTCAAGAAGTTAATCAAAATTATTTTCAATACAAAAATACTTCATTCATGTTCTCATGTTCTTATTTGGAAGACGCGATGGGATAGAATCAGCATCAGCGTCCCATCGCTCCTTCCCTCCTTGTGTTCGATGACCCAGTTGAAAGGATCCAGCCCCGATATCCACGTGCTCTTTCCATGTCAACAGACATGCTTGTAATCCGTTATGACGGTGAAGGTGGCCACTCGGATGTAAAGGCTGAATTGGCGTGTGGCCCACACTATAGCCACAGTTCTGTCAAACGTGGGCCAGCGCCTTTGGGTAGCAGTGAGCGACTAGTTTACACCACCCACCAATGGCTCTGGTCCTTCCTTATCTTGAGCCGACACGGCCACACTACTTCCATGGAGGCCTCTGAATACATTATAAAGGGAATGTCCGACATAGTGACCATCGGGGCATCTGATAACAACCCTGTTGTCAAAGACCTCATTACATTCCTGGGTGCATTGGAAACGCGCCCTTTACATGTCAGGTGGTGCAGAAGGGATGCACGCTGGGAAAAGTCCTCCACAACGCGTTTACAGTAGCAGTCAAAGGTTTGGACACCACTGGTACTGAACATCAAACACACTTGCCATGGCAGCTTAGCACCACCTCTATTGTGAGACGTTGCAGGTGAGTTGGTGAATCCCATAGATACTGACTTACTGAGAGGCCCCTGCCAGTCGTGAAGGCCAGAGAGACAATAAATACAAACTATGTAAACAGCATCTTAAGCCAGACGCTTACTGGAAGAGATGGCGAAAATGCTATGGAAATAATTAACTGGAGAAATAAGAAGTGAAATGAAAGAGTAAAATAACCGACTGAGGTCCAGTGGCTGGGAGGACAACTGGAAAACGCCTGAGTCTGTATGTGGAGGTCCATGTGTGTGTGGAGCAGGGCCCCTGAGTCTGTACGTAGAGCTCCATGTGTGTGTGGAGCAGGGCCCCTGAGTCTGTACGTAGAGCTCCATGTGTGTGTGGAGTCTGTACGTGGAGGTCCATGTGTGTGTGGAGCAGGGCCCCTGAGTCTGTATGTGGAGGTCCATGTGTGTGTGGAGCAGGGGCCCTGAGTCTGTACGTGGAGGTCCATGTGTGTGTGGAGCAGGGCCCCTGAGTCTGTACGTGGAGGTCCATGTGTGTGTGGAGCAGGGCCCCCTGAGTCTGTATGTGGAGTCTCATGTGTGTGTGGAGCAGGCCCCCTGAGTCTGTACGTGGAGGTCCATGTGTGTGTGGAGCAGCGCCCCTGAGTCTGTA